ATTCGATCATGTTCTTCGGCAAATCGCGTGACAGAAATGGTCGGGCCGCAGGCCCGACCATCGCCGCCAGCAGGCCAAGCAGGCCCGGCCCCTGCCGAACGGAGTTGCGGGCCGGGCGGAGCGAAGCGGAGCTGGCAACTTCGTTTGGCGGAAGGGCGGGCCTGCTTGTTAAGACTTCCCGCCACCGGCGCGCCGCTCCTCGCTATCCGCACCGTCCAGCCTGAGGGGAGTAGCCCCCCCACCACCGCTGCTGTGGTCGGCTGCCGGCGGCCGCCTGCCGTCAACAATGCTCCCCTCCCCTGCGCGCGCATCGTGCCGAACTCTGCAGCGCTGCAGGCGGTGAATAGGCGGTGAATCCCAGGAAAACTTTTCTTCTGAGTGCTGTGATATTGTGTTTAATTCGTGTTAGAAGATATAAAGTGAATCTAGTAGACAAGTGTTGAGTGTTAGTGCTCTGTTTCAAGACATCATTTGTCTGGTGAGTACGTTTTGAATGTAAAACAAATTTTTGTTATGATTATATGATGTCAAGATAAAGGCGATATAAGTATTCTCTCAGTGACTTACCTCTAAGCTACTGTTTTCGATAAAAAAAATTCATGTCACAAAAGTTTTACTTAACAAAAATTTTTTTTTCACAAGAAAAGAATTTTTGTTTTGTCTTTACAATTTTTCGATAAAGAAGTATTCATGTTTATTTACTTGTAACTAATATTCTTCAATTTTATTTTGCAGGAGTGTGCTGAAATTTATGAACGCATCCAAACCATGAAGAAGACTTTATTCAAGCACAAGCACCAGCTTCAACCATTGCCTGTACTTGTTGGCCCGGTCAATGCAATTCAACAGTCTTTCATTGTATTGGATGATAATCGTTGGGAAGTCAGTGACCCCTTTGAAGCTGTCGAGGGTACTTTTCGGCTGATATTTGGATTGGATGCAAAGTACCCTGCTGCTGCCCGCCATCTATGGCTTTTCATTCAACTAACACTCTTCAAGTTTCAAACTCCTGAAGATTATAGATCTGATACTGGGCTACATGCCCACATATCTGGACGTCTGAAGGACTTTGAATTGTTCAATTCAAAATGAAGTGCTCTTACTGCAATAAATCTTTTGTAAGTTATCAAACTTATGTGAATCACCATAATGATTATCACTCTTTAAAGCATTATGTGTGCACTTGTGGCCGTTCCTTCAAACCGTTGCAATCATTTCAAAGACATGTTCGTGGTTGT